TCAGTGACCCAGAATTAGTAAAGTTTGACTACATTTATTTCAGAAGCATTTTGGCTGTAGAGCAGTGATTTGCTATTGACAGGGCATGGAAATTTCTTACCTATTTTGGCCCTCCGTGCCTTCCGTTCTGCTGCTAACGAAGCATCCCCCAGGGCTCCCTCTGCCTGTGCGACTGGCCAGCAGGGGGCGGTGATAACTTTTGATCTACTTATCAGACACTGTGAGGTAACACTGTTGCTGGGTGGGTGGAGGAGTGTGTGTGTGTGGAGATTGGAGCTGAAGGGGCATTGTGGTAGGCGGAGGCCTCTGGGTGGCTGGGCAGGGGGTACCCTTGTCAGGTTGGTGGATTCTGGAGGTTTGGGGTTTTGAGGGGTGGTTCTGATGTGCCCAGCCCTGAGGCTATGGGTCCTGGAGGTGGGTCTGATGTGCCCAGCTGAGGGTCTGTTGGCTGGGGAACAGCGGGGGTGGGTGTCTCTTGGAGAGGGGGGGCGTGGGGTTAGAGAGTGCCTGGTGCTGTCCCACGGGCTCTCTGTCTGGGATTCCTCCGCAGACTCCTGGGATCGTTGCCATACCCAGTGCACAGAGCTGTGGAGGGGCATCCCTGACACTAGGTCAGGGGATGCTGGGCAAGCAGAGTGAGGGGTCCCACGGAAAAGTATCAGGGGGTGCCGCTAGGTGGAGGAGGGAGTCCCAGGCAAACGGCAGGGCAGATCCTGGTGGAGGGCAAGCAGGGGTCCTAGGCAGGCAGTGGGGGAACCCCAGGCAGGCAGTGAGAGTTCCCAGTGGGGGCTCCATGGCTGCTGGGGGCTCTTGGTGGGGGGAACCCTTTGGGATTCCCAGGCTGGCAGTGAAGGTCTGGCTGGTGGGGCTCTGAGGGGTATTTGGGGTCCCTGGCCAGGGAGTCTGGGGGCTGGGTCCCAGGGAATATCTGGTGGGACCCTGGCTCGGCGGTCTGGGTTCTGGGGGACCTTGGCTGGGGGCTCTGGGGGCTGCTACTAACCATGCTTCTTCTCCCTGATTGGCTTGTGCCAGAATCCTGGCTCCAAGCACTGCCCGACATTCCCCGGCCACACCCAGTCACTGTGATAACTTTCTATCTACTTATCAAACACTGTGAGGTGAAATCACACATTTTGCTTTTCTCCCCTCTTGAAAACTGCAAGAACTTCCGGTTCCATTAGGAAATTTCCTGTCCCCCAGTCCTTGTCCTAGATCTGGGGGGTGGGGGGTGTGAAGGGGGTTAGCACTGCCACACAATGGTCTCTTCCACAGCATTCTGGACTCGTTCTTTCTGAAATCTGGTTTCATTGAGAACATTGTTAATCCAGAGTCACTGCATGGAAACACTAGGAGTGACTCCAGATGGACAGTGGGGCAAATGAGATTAGCAATTCTCCCTGTGAGGAGGGGCTCTCATTAGCTGCTCTCTCCAGAGAGCTAAAGGAGGGAAGCTGCTCAAACGCTCTGTTCCTCTGTGCTCAGGGTATTGGGGTTCAGCTTCCTGGGTCAGACGCTGCAGCCTCCATTGTGATCTGGGAGACCAGGCTTGGCAACTGCAGCTCCCCCAGCGGGGGGTCTGTGCTGGGAAGTGACCTTAATTAAAGCTTCTTCTCTGCCTGGCCCAGGTGATGACTTTCTCCAGCTGGTACTAGCCCCCTGAGGCACCCCTGGGCCCTGTTAATACTAAATTCTGAGCCAGAGACTCCAGGTAACTAAAAGAAGTCAAGGGAAAATGCTGGGGTCTGGCATTAAAATGACTCTACACAAACAGCCCCTCCCCCGCACCCCATTTCTCCTCCCATTAGCAATTTCAGGAGCAAATCCAGCCATGGGGGAGCAAACAACCCAGGAATGGGACTTTGCTATCAGGTGGGCAGGGAGAAGGGACAGGGAAAAGGAGATAGAAGGAGAAAGAGAGACTGAAGGGGGCCATGTGAGAGAAGAGTTTCAAGAGAGATTTCCAGATCTCTAACCTGCCCAGACAGATGTATTACTGCACCCTGGGTAGAGTCACTTTCCTGTGCACAAGATGAGGATCAGACCGAGGAAAACCCAGTTCCTGACTCCATATCCCTCCTGCTGGGGTGTGGCTCCCATTGGGTCAGTGTTAGAGGGAATCATCAAAAGTGACTCCTTTGGTTCTGCTTTTTTTCTAGCCTTGTGTTCAGAGACTTAGTTACAGGATGCAGGGAGGCAGAAGGGAAGTTAAAAATGTGTCTATGGGCTTAGCCTGGCAGGAGGGGCCAGCTCTGCAGTGTAATAAAGAGATCAAACATTTTCTCAGCATGGCAGAATCTAGGATGTCTCTCTGCAGGGAAAGGGCCTGGGGGAAGCATTATGTGAAATTAACTAAAGCCTGTTCTGAAACCTAAACAACTGCCCTTCTCACCCTGCCAGGCTGCAGAATGACGTCCATGTTTTGCTCCAGTTCATCCTGTCCTCCCATGGGACAGGGGAGAGAAATGGCTGCAGAGGAGCCAGCTCAGGTAAGGATTATTGGGGGGTTGCTGGTGAGTTCCTGCTGGAGAGAGAGGGAGAGCAAATACACCGGAGCTGGGAAGGTTGCACAGTCTGGTTTGGAGGTTGGAGCAGGGCAGGAAATGCAGAGGGTGGAGATAGGGAGGAGGACAGGGTGTGGCAAACCTGCTGGAAGTTGTTTAACAAGCAGCCTAGAAACTAGGAACAGACCCATGAGGTTCAGAGGTGGAAATGCTCTAATTTGTTGAACAGAAAATAACCCACCAACATGGAGCTAGGAAAACTGACCAGACTCCTAGTGCTGGAGCCTGACCCAACCAGCGGCTGCTGTGAGATATGAAGGGGGCACCTACTAGTCAGGCTTAGGGGTGTTGCCCCTCCCTTCATATCTAGCTCTTCACAATGAGGAGGGTGTTGGGCTTCCTACCAAGGAGCTCTTCCTGGACCCTGCTAGTGGCTCCATCTCCTGTATCAGTCTGTGGCTAGTAGGTGTGTGATGCATCTGCTGGGAGAGACAAGGGGCTCTCTCTTCGTCCCCTCTCCCTGGTGTTTTCTGGATGCTCTGAGTGGGGTGGGGGTGGGAATATGTTGACTGCGAGCCACCCAGAGCTTTTGTTTGGCTCCTGTCCCCCACGTATAGGGGGGCTGTGAGTGGGGCAGCAGGTACTGAGTGTTGGACTCTTGCTCTTTCAGGGGCCGGTGACTTTCGAGGAGGTGGCTGTGTATTTCACCAGGGAAGAGTGGGCTCTGCTGGACCCCACTCAGAGAGCTCTCTACAGAGACGTCTTGCAGGAGAACTATGAGAATGTGACCTCGCTGGGTAAGGGTTACTGTCTCCTCGGTTCTTGGAAGGGGAAATGAAGAGATAAGGTTCACACCAGCCCACAATGCCACCTCTACTCTGTCCTGTTTCAGCTTCACCCCAATATGCCAGTGACACACACACTACCCAAAGTGTTCTGCAGCAGGGGAGGGTCTCTGGAACAGAGCACAGGAGCAGTATCGCACAGTGTCAAATATCTCCGGTTTGCTCAAGTAAAACTGGGGCTTAGGTCCAGCATAACGAATAGAAGCTTCCTACCCGTGCCCTTCTCCACCCAGACCAGAATGTGCTTTGGGTGTAACAAGCAGGCTGCTGGAGTCAGAGCTGCTGGTCCAGGGTTACTTATCACACAGACACTCCATGCATCCTTGAATGCTGGCTGGGAGTATCCAGACAAGGGAGCTCCATAAGGGAGGTATAGCTCAGTGGTTTGAGCATTGGCCTGCTAAACCCAGGGTTGTGAGTTCAATCCTTGAGGGGGCCATTTAGGGATCTGGGGCAAAAATCTGTCTGAGGTTTGGTTCTGCATTGAGCAGGGGGTTGGACTAGATGACCTCCTGAGGTCCCTTCCAACCCTGATATTCTATGATAAGCAGAACATTGAATCTCACACAGCATTACAGATGACACAACTCCTCACTCATCTGGATTGCACCCCAGCATGTGAAAATGGTTGAGGTTGGTAGTGAAAATTCTTGAGACATGGAGAGTCTTGCTCCCCTATCACCATATGTAATAGCCATAATCCCTCTTCTCTTCAGGCTCCTTGGATTTTTGAGTCCCTCATTCCCAAACTCACATGACTCCGATTCTTCTTTTTCACAATCTGCTTTTCCAGACTAATTAGAGTCTGTTACTCCTGAATTATAGCTTCTAATTTCCCAGTGTTCTCCACAGCCAGGGATTTTCCTACTCCCTCCCATTACACTGGACTCACTAGATTCCCTAGTATATAAGAACGGCCACACTGGGTCAGCGCATAGGTCCATCTAGACCAGTATCCTGTCTTTCAAGAGTGACCAATGCCAGGTGTCCCAGAGAGAATGAACAGAACAGGTAATCATCAAGTGAGTCATCTCCTGTTGCCCATTCACAGTTTATGGCAAATAGAGTTTAGGGACACCATCCCTACCCATCCTGGCTAATAGCCATTGATGGGCATGAATTTATCATGTTATTTTTTTTTAACCCTATTACAGTCTTGGCCTTCACAACATCCATTGGCAAAGAGTTCCACAGGTTGACTGTGCGTTGTGTGAAGAAATACTT